CTGGTGTCTCTGAAACTCCATGCTAAGAATATTGAGCTTCCCGAGTACATCTGCTACAAAGAGAAGGAGAAAACGGAATTCAAAGCTCGTCACAATGCTGTACACCACCATATGATATTGGCTGGGAAAACCTCCAATAGACTTGCGATGGCATCTTCTCGTGATGTTTTGAATGCCCTACTGTTCAAGGGTTGTCTCGCAGTCGAATACAGCGTGCATGCAATGCACGATGGAGCACCAGAGAATCTCCGCAAGGGAGCAAACTGCCTTGTCGACGATTGCAAAATCTGTAAAACAGCTGGCAGCGTATTTTGTGGCGAACGCCTCTTAAAATAAAAATACATAAAGAAGGTGTATTCATGTAATTATATCAGAAATTAAACTTGGAAGGCGTCAGGACAAAATATGAAATCAAAGCTAGAATCACAGGTGGGCGATGCAGTGGCAGGAAACCAAGTGTGGTATTCTCGTGCGCAGCCGAGCCATGAGGCCTGTCTTGTCTCCCATCATTATACTCGTCCCATCTGTGGTGATGCCACAGATGTTGGACATGCGGAGATAACTCGTTCAACGGGAGCTAGGCTACGGGCTAGGCACGGGGCAAGGGTGATCTCTGCGTTCGTTCACTTAGTCGTTTACTCGTGCTTGCACTACTTGCTGGTTCACGGGGGGATTTGGCAAGAGTTCCACTAGCAAAAGTTAACAACAATTGTTGATTCAACATTGGCAACACAGACTACATCAGAGCTAGCTAGCCTGCTGGTCGACCTCCAGCGCAGCATGGTCGACCGCCATCCAGCGCAGCAGAGCTCGCACCGCTCCAGCGTTGCAGAGTAGCTGTTTGCCAACGTTGCAAGTCCACGGTGTGCCAACGCTGCAGCAAGTCGGCTGCACAGCGTTGCACCCGCAGGACAACGGTGCACCTGCTTCGCAGGTGCATGCAGCTGGTTGGTGCACCACTCCTTGTCATGTGCACAGCGCAGACGTCCAGGCCGAGTCCACGCCAGCGACTACGCCTACCAGCCACGTCGACCTCGGGATACCACTTATGAGGTCGGCCTCGCAGCAACCACCCCGGCGACCATCGCACACGTCGCCCGGGTAACTCGGTTGACCGGGCAACCACGCCTGGTCGCCACGGCAGCACCACTCGGAGAATAGCCCGTCGGCGTGCACACAACACACAGCACGCCGGTCACCGCACCAGCCATGCAAAAGGGCATGGCACCTACTGCTGCACATCGTCATCACCGTCGCCCACGTCGGCCAGGCTCACTTGGCCGATTGCGACGGAGCACCGGTTGAAGGCCGGGTAGTGCAGCGCCTTTCGTCAGGAAGTCGGCCGGCTGCTCGGTGGTCGGGATGTACTTCAGCGTGAATTTCCCGCGCTTCACCATGTGCTGCAGCCAGGCTTGTCGCCGCTCCATGTGCTTGAGGTTGCCCGTCAACCCCATGCCCTCGGCGACCGTGATAGCCGACTTGTTGTCCACCCGAAGGATGGTCGGCGTCCCGGCGTTCAGCTGCCGGAACTCTGCGCGGAGGAAACGAAGGCGGCGTCCCTCCTTTCCGGCTTCAGTGGCTGCCACGTACTCCGACTCCGTCGACGACAGCGTCGCACACTTGATGCACTGGCTCGACCAGGAGACCGCGTCCCCTCCGAAGACGAACACGTAGCCATCCCGTGCTCGTCCGGTTCTGGTTGTCGCCAGCGTCGTCGGCGTCCACGTAGCCGACCAGCTGCAGCGACTCAGTTCCACCGCCGAACTCCAGGGCGGTGTCACGCGTGTTGGCGAGGTAGGCGAGGCAGCGGTCGACCTCGCGCCAGTGATGGTCGCTCCTCACCGTGAGGCCGCTCCCCAACTTGCTGCAAGCGAAGGCGATGTCCGGCCTCGTCGTCGTCATCGCGAACTGCAGCGAGCCGACCTTCTGCCGGTACTCCTCCTCCCGGCGCTCCTGTGCCTCCTCGTCGTCGAAGGTGAGCTCGGCGTAGGCGTCGACCGAGACCGGCGTCTTTGGGGTGCGCCCGGTCTGCTCCTTGTCGATGAACCGCCTGCGCAGCTTGTCGGCGTGGCCCTGCTGGTGCAGCCACAGCTTCCTCGCCGGCCTGTCGCGCACGATCTCCAGCCCGAGGTACTTCTGCACCGGCGAGATCTCCCGCAGCTCGAAGACGGCTTCCAGCAGCTCCTTCAGCTCCTTCAGCATCGCGGTGCTGCTGCTGGCGGCGAGCAGGTCGTCGACGTAGACCAGCACCCAGCAGGCCACTCCGTCGTACCTTGAAGTACAGAGCCTCGTCGACCTGGCTCTTCTTCCACCCGGCGCCGACCACCACGTCATTGAGCGCCTTGTACCACAGCACCGGCGACTGCTTCAGCCCGTACAAGCTCTTCAGCAGCTTGCACACCCGGCCGGTCCCATCGTTGAAGTGGTCCGGCTGGTACATGTAAAGCACCCGGTCGAGCTTGCTTTGGAGGAAGGCGTTCTTCATGTCGAGCTGCATCAGGTGGAGGTTGAGGACGGTGACGATGCTGAGGAAGATCCTCAGCGTGACGTAGCTGCTCACCGGCGCGTACGTCTCGTCGTAGTCGGTGCCATACACCTGTGTGAAACCCTTCACGACCAGCCTCGCCTTCTCGCGCTCGATGGTGTCGTCGATGCGGTACTTCGTCGTCAGCACCCACCGGTTCTTCATGATGTTCACCTAGGTGGGCGTTTGACCAGCTCCCAAGTTCCCATGCTGATGAGGCTGCGGATCTCCTCCTCCATGGCGGCTTTCACCGCCTTGCCCTTCCAGCTTGCCAACGCCTCCTTCCCCGTCATCGTGGAGATGTCCCAGCGGTGCTCGGGGTCGGCGTGCATGTCGGGGTCGAGCTCCGGCAGTTCCTCATCCTCCTCGGCATCATCATACAGCAAGTCGTCGTCGACCTCGTCGTACGCCGTGGTGAAGGCAGCCGGTACATAGAAGTCGGGCGGCCTCCGAAGTCGGCCTGTACGCCGTGGTCCAGGCTGAGCCTCCTCGGCGTCCCCTCCATCATCACCGGCGTTGCTGCCCTCAGCGTCCTGCTGCACCTCAGTCGGCGTCCCAGCCGACTTCTCCCCTGTGGTCGGCTCCCCTGCCGACTGCCCGGTCGCCTACTGCTCCGTGGTCAGCGTCGCTGCTGCCTGCTCCCCTGTCGGTTGCTGCCCTGCTGGTGTCTCCTTCGCCGGCTTCACTAGGGTCGGCTACACCTCCTCTGCCCACTGCTCCCTTGTCGGCGTCGACTTGACTCCCACGCCGACTTGCTTGGCGTCACGTCGTCTGCCGGCGATGTTCTTGGTCGGCGCCACAGGCGACGCCCCACTGCTCCCCTCATCGCCGGGGGCCGACACCGGAGTCAGCCCACGCAGATCGGCGTCAAGGGGAGGGGCAGGAGGGGCAGGGGAAGGAGAAAGAGGGCGGACGGCCCCGGCGTCCTCATCAGCGAGCTCACCGACCTCGGCGAGCAGAGGGAGCGTCGTTGTCGAGGTGTCCGTCGGCGGGTTGTCCGGCGTCCGCCCCGACGCCGGCCCATGCTGCGACATCCACACCTCCAGCGACATGGTCTCGTAGAACACCACGTCCGACGTGGTGACCACCCGGTTGTCGGCGGTGTCGAGGAGTTCCCAGCCCTTGCTCTCCGCCGACAAGCCGAGGTGAAGGCCCCACCTGGCCTTCGGCTTCAGCTTCCCACCGTGCTGCTGCTCGGGGACCAGGAACTGTGCCATGCAGCCCCACACGCGCGCAAGCGACAAGTCAGGCTTTGTCCCAGTGAGCAGCTGGTACGGCGTTGTCCCCGGCGGCAGCGCCGACCTCTCAAGGCAGTTGCGGACCCAGACGGCCTGCCGCAGAGCAAGATGCCACCAGTGGTGCTGCACGCCCATGTGCAGCAGCATCGTCGGCACCGACTCCACCACAGTCCTCATTTCCCGCTCGGCCATGCCGTTCTGCTGCGAGGTGTAAGGGCAGGTCAGGTCGTGGATGATTCCCTTGCCATCCACGAAGGCGGTGAACTCCTTCCCGAGGAACTCCCCTCCCCGGTCAGAGCGCAGCATCAGCACCGACTTCTTCGTCTGCCGCTCAGCCACCGCCAGCCACTGCACGAACTCCTGCAACACGTCCGACTTCTTGGCGACCGGCCTCACCCACACGTAGCGAGTCTTGCGGTCCTTCAGCAGCAAGAAGTACAGGCTGCCATCCTTAGCCGCCACGCAAAACGGCCCGCACAGGTCGATGTGCACGACGGCCAGCACGTCGTCGGCGTCCGAGCCCTTGTCGGGGAAAGTGTGCCGCGCCAGCTTCTTGCCGATGCAAGAGACGCACGGTGAGTCGGCGCCGGACGCCGACATGAGGTCCAGCCCAGTGGCGACCTCGTGCTTCGCCGAGCTCCGGATGGTGTCCATGCCGACGTGCGCAAGCCTCGTATGCAGCCTGTCCGGCGTCGACTTCGTCGCCGAAACTATAGCCCGCAGGGCCACCACCTCCGTTGTGGGCATTGTCGACTTCGCCGATCAAGGACGCAGGTCGGTGCAGAGGACCCGGCCGGTGTAGGACGTCCCCTGCTGCTGTGACGAGCAACAGTACGTTGCCGTCCTCTTTCAGCTTCGCACCGTTCTCCTGGAGCTGGCCGGCCGAGAGCAGGTTTGCCTGCACGCCCGGAACGTAGAGTATGTCGGGGATGAGCACCTGCTTCCCGGCGTCGCCTTGCAAGGCGACCGTTCCCCGGCCCTGGACGTCGAGGACCACATTCACGAATCGCGAGTAGGTTTTTCTTCTCAGCGCGGCGAGGCCGCCGCCGCTAGCGCTCAGCGACTACTAGCGGGTTGGTGGGGACGGCCTTAGCAATGTCTCGGCATGCTGTGGCGGCGAATGCGTTTCAGCCCACGGCTTCGGGCTGTTTTTGGTGAACGATCGATAACCTTATCGGCGCGCAATTCGGGAATCTAGCTTATGGGGGAGTGAATCGCGAATGTGAAGGACGCTCCCAATGTCATTCGCGTTACTTCTGTTACCTACTCCAGCATTCGCGTTCTGCAGGGGCGAAACTCCCACCGGCGGCGCATTCGCGTACCGTTTCCCCTCGCGCGCCCCGTCGGCAAACACACCACACCCTCCGCCAGCTCTTCCCGTGCGCCCGGTCGACGGGAGGGGAAGGGTTGGCCGCCAAGGCGTGTCCTTCTTCGCGCACCCTTGCCAGCTCCCCCTCCCATCGCCACCCAGGTCAATGTCGCGTCCGACCACATTCCATTCCGTTCACCCTCATCTACGTCGTCCACGCTTTCCCTCGATGATCCACGCCCACTACGGCCCATTGCGTCGGCCACGCGCACGCCATCGCCGCCCTTTCTTCCGTGTGAGCGATTTTTGAGAATTCTCTAAAAGCCCTCCCATCGCCGCCTTCCGCCGCCTTCCATTCCCGTCTCCTCTCCACCCAGTGGAGTTTCCGCTCCCCGTCGCCTCTCCTCCCGTCGCCTCTCCTCCCCGTCGACACTCCCCCCCGTTCCCCACTTGATGTCTTCCTTTCTATCATTCCTCCTCCATCCCTTTCCCCCCTCCTCCCTTCCTCCCCGCCTTCCCTTCTTTCCTTCCTCCAATTCTCCCTTACCTCCCTCGCTTGCTTCCTTACACCCCGCCTCCCGTCCTCCCTTCCCCCTTTCCTCCCTTGCCCCCATTCTTCCTTTCTTCCGTTCCTCCCTTCCCCCCTTCCTCCCTTCCTCCCTTCCTCCCTTCCTCCCTTCCCCGCTTCCTCCCTTTCCCCTTTCCGTCACCTCAGGCTCCCTTTCCCCTCCCTTTCCCCTCCCTTTTATTTACGTTGCCCATTCGCAGATCACTTACATCCCCTATCATTCCGTGCAACATCTTTCCTCCACGTCGCCGCACACCCTTCTCCCCACGGTCGCACGCTCTCCTTCCACGCATAGACACTCCACATGCTGCTTTCTCATCCCTCCTTTTGCGAAACACTATCACTTCTGCAGTACAATTAGGTGAAGGTTAGACTTCGTTCTAAACCGCACGCACCGTCATGACGCACACTCACTTCCATGGCGTTCTAATCCCTTCCCTGGATTGTCCTATAAACTTCCGTGCCTCCCACGCTCATTTTGTGCTTCCATTTCTCAATAAGCGCCTTTGCCTTTCCGCGCGTTGTTCTCTCTAATTCCGCAGCTCGCAATTTCAGTGGGGCGGGTGTTGGGAGATGTCGCCAGTGGACGGGCTGCCAGTGCGTGACACTGCTGCGAGGGCGTGTCGCTTACTTACCTGCTGGACCGCTGCGAGTTATGAGACGATTTTTGAGTCGACTCATCACACGACTCAAAAATCGTCTCATCACATGCTGGACCTCTGCGAGTTCCTCGAATCCGACCTGCTTGGGGCGCTCTTGGCTTGGGTCGGGGTGGGGTTACACTCGACCGCGGCATTCCGCAGGTGCTGAGGGGTTAGTGGTGGGGACAAGGTTTGTGCGTGAACGAACGCTATGTGTGTCCGTGCATGTGCGCCGGCGTGGCCGCTTGTTGCTGATTGGCTCGTGTGCTTTGTGCTGATGTGTGAGTGAGAGCACGCGTGCTCACATCACACACACAATCACACATACACAGGCCTATACACCCACCCATTTAATCTCTTGTTATAGGTGCTCATTTCTGTTCCTCTTTCCCAACCGCCCTCCCACTCTCACTTCCCCGTTCTTCCGCTCTCGCACTCCCCCGTCGTACATCCGGCCCCTCCCCCCCCCCCCTTGCCCGTGCTGACGCCCGACCCGACCCCAAGGCAAGGCGGCATTGAAGATAGTATGGGAGAGACGACGAGAACGAGCGAGTCGGAGTTCCTCTACTCCCCCCTTCCCCGTGCTGACGCCCGACCCCAAGGCGGCGCTGAAGTTAGTATCGAAGACGACGATGAGAGCGAGCGAGTCGGAGTTCCTCTACTCGCTCTCCAACTACTGCAGCCTGCAGCCTTCTGCCTGCGGCGCTGAGGATAGTATCGGAGAGACGGTAAGAGCGAGCAAGTCGGAGTTCCTCTACTCCCCCCCACTCAGGTGCTGACGCCGGACCGCAGGGCAAGGCGGTGCTGAAGATAGTATCGGGGACGACGATGAGTGACGACCAGTTGGGGCTGGGGAGACGATGAGTGAGGACCAGTTGGGGCTGGGGAGACGATGAGTGAGGACCAGTTGGGGCTGGGGAGACGATGAGTGAGGACCAGTTGGGGCTGGGGAGACGATGAGTGAGGAGTTCCTCTTCTCGCTTACAGCGCCTCAACTACTGCAGCCTGACGATAGTATCGGAGAGACGATGAGTGATTTTTGAGAATTCTCTACGATTTCTGAAGAAAATCGCACAAGAGTTCCTCTACTCTCTCTCCAACTACTGCACCCTGCAGGGCAGGGTACGTACGTGGTGGAGTTCCAGTTCAGGCTGGGCTGGGCCTCATAGCGCCCAGTTCGGGCTGGGCTTCATAGCGCCCAGTTCGGGCTGGGCCTCATAGCGCCCAGTTCGGGCTGGGCCTCATAGCGCCCAGTTCGGGCTGGGCCTCATAGCGCGCGCTGTCGAGGAGGAGAGCAGAGCAGAGCATCGCGGGTGTGCTGGTCATGATCATGGGCGGCCGCCGCCCGCCTGGGCATGGCCGTGTGCGAGCCGAGCGCCTGTTCCGCCGGCGCAGTTTGAGATCTCAAAGCCGCATGCAGGTGCTGGTGGACATGCAGGTGCTGGTGGACATGCCGGTGCTGGTGGACATGCCGGTGCTGGTGGAGATCGAGAGCGGCAGAGCGAGATGAGCCTTGAGACAGGGCCGGCACCGCTTTGAGCTCTTCATGGGGCACGGCATGGGTGCAGCCACCACGGGTGATGAGCCTATCAGTGCGAGGACGGCATATGTGTTGGCCAAGGCGGGGGGGCGCATTGCGCATGGGCTCACAGTGTTTGGGTGCTGCCTGCGCTGCGCCAGCACAACCACGTGAGAGTGGCAGGGGCATTGGGGCGTGGCGTGGTGACGTGTGGTGTTGCTCTGTGTCAGTGTCACTGCACGCCACGCACAACACGCATGTGATGCATGTGTCCCCGTTCAAGCTGCAACCATGCCATGCCATGCCATGCCATGCCATGCCCAACTACCCTCTCACTGACCCATCCCCTTGACCAACCATTTCCTCCCAAAACTATTCCCTCCTCCTCCACCACCAGGTGAAGGAGCTGCTCCGGTGGCTGGCGCGGCCAGAGCACGCACGCAGCGACGCGCAGTGCGCATGACAACCTGCTCCCTGGGATGACATCCTCCTAACAACCTGCTCTTTTCAGATGCAAGCTGGGCCTATGCCGTGGTGACGAGCGTGGAGGCGGCATACGGCATTGCGCTGAACAGTGAGGCTCCACGGCTGTCAGTGGACTCGCTCTTTACAGTCATGGGGCTCACCTCCCCAGCAGCCAAGTGCACCATAGGGAACTCCCCTGCTGCGGCCTTCGAAAAGCTCCTCACTCTTCCCCGTGGTGGACTCACAACCGACAGCAGGCCAGTATGAACGATGTAGCCAATAGGAACAATTCATAGACAGCACATAGACAGCACCATTGTTACCCAGCAAGCATGTACAAGCGCAACTGAGTGACGAAACAGTGACCTTCAGAACAGCACCATTGTTACCCAGCAAGCATGTACACGCAGTCTAGAGTGGACCGTGTATTGCATGACGTTGTTGGCTCTACTACTCGACGTTGCTATTGACGTGTCCCCTAACTTGTCTCCTTTCTATTTCCTTGTTCATTCTTCTAGCCTTCCCACAACAACTCTGCTGTGTAAAGCAGGTACTTCATCTCCCAATGACTCTGGTGTGCTTGTGATCTGCAGATTTCAAAGTACCCCATCCAAGGGTTTGAGCGCACACAGTTCAAGGGGTATGTGGGGCTCATGCTGGCAGTGAGGCGGCAACCAGTGGTGGTTCACATCGAGGCCTCTGCTGCCACGTTCATTCAATATGACGGGGTGGGTACTCTATATGTAGTAATCTGATCCTCCTGTGGTGGTGTGAGCATCCGTATTGACATCCTATGGGAGCATGCCCAGTGGGTGCTTCAACAGTTATACATATGTTCCCTGTTCCATCACTTATGGAACCACAGCCAATGGCCACATGCCTCCTGCATCGTTATCCAACAATTGGCTGCCATTTTCTCCCTCTTCTCTCTCGTCCAGACCTTCAAGTATCAGGACCCCTCTTGCTACACCGGCAACCTTAACCATGGTGTGCTCGTCGTTGGGTACCTCATTTCAACAAAAGATGGTCGCGAAAGCCCGAGTGTACCGCCGTTTTGGATCATCCGCAACTCGTGGGGGCTAAAGTGGGGCGACAGGGGGCATATGCGCGTGGACATTCAGGGAGGAGATGGCGTTTGTGGCATCAACGTGCTGCCTGGCATCTACCCCATCGTCAAGAGTAAGGCATCTGTCCCATTTTGCGGTATACCATTAGCAAAGAGCTATGATATACCCGCGATGAATTATTTCAGGCCACTTCAAGAAAATTGTGTTTGTGGGTCTGTGTATACTAGAAGCTTCTCAAAATACCTCACTTCCCCTGACCTTATCATCGTGAATTTCCAGTTGTGGCCAAAAGAGCCTCAAGGCCGACGGAGACGCGCAGCCCAGCATGAACCCGTGCGGTCGCTTCACATGCCGGCCCAATGCAAAGACCAACAGCAACACGTGCAACTGCACCATACCTAATGAAGCCAATCAGCCCTTTGTCGAAGTGGCAAATGGACTGGGCTCCAGCACTTGTGCATATGGTGAGTCATGCTCGTGTACAGAAGTTAATCTTCAGCCCACGTTTTACACCTCATCGCATTCAATTGCTGTGTATGTTTACTGAAGTGGAACAGCTACCATTTTTTTTTTTTTTTTCTTTTATTATCAAACAATTCCATCTACAGAAAATTGTCTTGCGTGTTGCAATTCATCCATAATAACGCATTCTCCGCTCCCCATGTCCACTATACAGTTGATATGTGTGGATCTTACGCCATGAACCCCTGCGCTGCCGGTACATGCATAAACGATGGCAAGGGAGCCTACTCCTGCATCTGGCCTTCCAACTACATTGAGAGCAGAACCGCTGACAACTTCCATACCTGTGACCCAGGTGCTGCTCATTTGCATCATAACATTGCGTTTGATGCATTTTGGTGGGTTCTTTGTCAAGACGTGAACACTATTAGTTACAATGACAGGAAAGCCTTCATTTTCGCCTTTAGATGACCGTCTAATGCTCCTTTCCTCTGCAACTTCACGTCCCTGCATACCAACTTCTTTCTTCCTCCCAGCCAACACCACAGCCTCCACTTTGGCTGTCACTGGGGCCAACTGGTGGTGCACCGATGTATTACCTGCTGTTGGCCTCGCTTTGGCCAGCCTCCCACAGCAAAGCATGGTGAGATGGCCAGAAGTTCATTGCATGAAACTAGGCGTGCAGTGCCACTGTAGGTGTGTAATGATGGGGTTTTAGGATGTTCTGTTCTGAATATCAACACGATCATGTTCATCAGACAATCGTATCCATTGCCATCTCTCTAATGTGTTGCAGACCGTTAACTGCAGCCAGCCATTGCCTTTGGGCAAGGTGATTCAGTTGGGCAGCACTGCCACCACCACTCCTTGCACTTCCTTCTTCTATGCCCTCGATGTGAGTCTGTCGTTCCTAGGCATCAATTCACTTCAAGGGGATGCAAGAAGGAACAAACCTCCACCACGGACTTCCTCCCCTCAGCATCACACACACCCTCCACCAGCAGCAGCACATTTTTTTTTTACGATTACAGCTATTGCCTCAGTGTACTTTGTGTTCCTTCAACAAGCCACCTTTGCTTTCTCTCCCCGCGCTATATTCTCCAGGGGGACACCTGTGCCTCTATCAGCACCCAGTTGGGACTCACATTGACTGACCTTTTCTCTCTCAATCCCGGCCTGAACTGCTCGGAGCCCATCAAGCTGGGCCGCTCTCTGTGCATCGAGCGCAACACCACTTTAGCCTACACCATCCCACAGTGCTTGCGGTACGGCATGCTCACAGCACAAGATACGTGCGAGGGCCTGCTGCTGCAGAGCATGCAGTCTAGTGAGGATGAGGCCGCAGGTGCTGGAGTGGTGACTGCAGCCAGCTGGGCTGAGCTCTACCGCAACAATCCTGGCCTCATATGCCCCTGCACCATCACTGCATCTAGCGCCACTGCTGCCACTATGACCAGCGTGCAGGTGAGGAAATGGGATATGTATGGCCGTGAGGTCTATAAATATACCATTCATTGCATCCATTGTTCTTTAAAAATTTTCCCTGCATTGTGTGTGCACCATCCATGCCAGATATGCCTCAAGGCAGACTACGAGTCCTTGAGTTCTCACAGCTGCAAGATCGGTAGGCTGAAGGTGGTGTCACCAACACTGACATGTGCTGGAGCTTTAAGCTACTACGGTGGAACTAAGCCAGGAGCAATCACAAAGTTCTCTGATTACAATGGTAGGACATGCTCAGGAAGTGTCGGATTGAACTATCTCTGTGTGCCATAGTGAAACCAAGTATGACTTTACATACCTTTTCTCCCCATTGAAAGCACCATAGTATAGGTTCTATCAGACTCAGTAGAACCGTGGAGGCCGGCTATAGTTTTTAGGCCCGTCTGAAAACCAGATCAAGAATTTTGTCCCCGTCTGAGCATCAGGGCCCAAAATTGGTTTAGGCCCACCCTGACAAATCAGGGTTCGAGGCCCCCCGTACCCTGACCCTTAGGGTAAAAAAAATCGTACCCTGCTGGAAACAGCCTAACAAATTCCAGACACTGATTCTGCAAGGGTAAAATAGCAGTTAGGCTGTTTGCAATGTATTGTTCACATGTAATACACACGCAGCAACGACTGTACAGAGTACGAAATCAAAGCGGAGGGCTGTGTTGGAATGATAGAGTACGAAATCAAATCAATTTCGTGGGGCAGCAACGACTGTACTGTGCTACGTGTGCGCATGAGACTATAAAGTATGCTAAGCACTATTTTGTCGACTTCAGGTAGCGTAACTAGTTAGCTGTCACCCTCCCGATGGTAAGGTCAAAGGTTCGAGTTTTAGAGGCGGAAATGTTTTTTCACAGAAACAATTCGCGTTTCTGCAGATTCGGTATCAGTGTAATGCGCATAGCACCCTGGTACAGGCAGGGTAACATAAATACGTATCAGGGTGAGATTTATGTTTGCCTTTTTGCTTTAGGGTAAAAAAATTGATACAATGATTTTGCAAGGGTAACTGGGAAAAAGCGGCCGCTCATCAGGGCTAAAAGGGTGATTTACCCTGATAATTTGGGCCCTGCTGAGCATGTTATGGGATATTGTTTTTAGGGTGGCCATGTTGTTGTTGTTGTTGTTGTTGTTGTTGTTGTTGTTGTTGTTGTTGTTGTTGTTGTTGTTGTTGTTGTTGCTGTTGTTGCTATTGTTGCTGTTGCTGCTGTTGCTGCTGTTGCTGCTGTTGCTGCTGTTGCTGCTGTTGCTGCTGTTGCTGCTGTTGCTGCTGTTGCTGCTGTTGCTGCTGCTGCTGCTGCTGCTGCTGCTGCTGCTGCTGCTGCTGCTGCTGCTGTTGCTGCTGTTGCTGCTGTTGCTGCTGTTGCTGCTGTTGCTGCTGTTGCTGCTGTTGGTGCTGTTGGTGCTGTTGGTGCTGTTGTTGCTGTTGTTGCTGTTGTTGCTGTTGTTGCTGTTGTTGCTGTTGTTGCTGTTGTTGCTGTTGTTGCTGTTGTTGCTGTTGTTGCTGTTGTTGCTGTTGTTGCTGTTGTTGCTGTTGTTGCTGTTGTTGCTGTTGTTGCTGTTGTTGCTGTTGTTGCTGTTGTTGCTGTTGTTGCTGTTGTTGCTGTCGTTGTTGTCGTTGTTGTCGTTGTTGTCGTCGTTGTTGTTGTTGTTGTTGTTGTTGTTGTTGTTGTTGTTGTTGTTGTTGTTTTTGTTGTTGTAATGTCAATTACTTTACAGCACAAAAGCAAGAAATTTCCAAAAGGTGCACTACTAGGACAAGATGGCACTCACTTCCACTAAGGCCCTGGCCTTGTCCTTTCTACCCCCAAGTCACATGTCCTCGTCGTCGTTATCAGTAGCCGCCACCTTGGCTGCCTCTGCTGCTACCTCTGGCTATCGATACACGTGGCAATAGATGCTCCTGATGCTCTTCCCGCTTTGACAGCAGTCTTGTACGGGTCGTCCCGCTTGAGCCTTGACCACCATCCTCTCTGGTCCTCGCATCGTGCTGCTCTTCCAAAGCCCGACCATCTAGTATTTTTCAAAGAAGCGATGGTCATGAGCTCGGCGAGTGTGGCGTCGCGTTAGTTGTCGCGCAACCAATAATTGATTACACTTTGGCGGGTAAACCATCATTTGTACTCCACTTTCCAAAGGGGGGTCGGCGACGGTGATCCAAAGATGCACAAGGTTTGGGTGGACGCCCTTCCAGCCAGGCGCCCTTTCAGTCAGGAGAGCATGTTCGTGAGGCTCTTATGAAAGAACATGTCGTCGCTGTGGGTCAACAGGATCGTTGTAAAGCTGCTCAACTCCTTTGCGTTGCTCCAGTTAATACTCGATGGACGGGGGTACGGGGCACTAGCACAAGGAAGGAACGGGATAGGGATAGACATCTGATAAGGACAGGGTTGTTTTTTGCAGGACGGAAACACAAACACTGATTGATTTCAGATAAGCATGATCCACGTACACTGGAGAAGCAATCAAACAAGCACGAGGTAACGGTGGAGACATCTTACCAGGGAGGGTGTCCGAAGCCTGTAAAATTCTCTTAAACAGTGAGCGTAGTGTACAAGAAATCTGCGCTCGCTTGTAGCATATGATCTAGGATATATTCCCTGTCCGAATAGTCGGGATCCATCCAGGGATGACAACTCCCTAACTCGCTCTTAAAGCTGTCACACACTTGCATGACTCCAAATCAGCACTGTTGCTCTGACAGTCCAGGTTCCTTTCGTGAAGCTTGAAAGTGTGTTCAGTCGGCGTGCAATCGCAGTCAATTCCCTCCAGTATCACAGTTCAACCCTGGTGAGACCCGTGTTCCTTCAGGAACCCACCCAAGCTGCCCTCCTCGTGTCGAAATAGGTATTCTTACTCCACATATCAGCTGCACATAGTGAGTGTTGTGCTGTCAAGAATTCAGAGCACTTGCATTGCATCCACCTGCACACGTTCAGACGACCTCATAAATGCATGGTTCAAACGAGACAACCAATGGGGAACAAATGGATCAAACTTACCTGGTGTCTCTAAAACCCCATGCTAAGAATATTGAGCTTCCCGAGTACATCTGCTACAAAGAGAAGGAGAAAACGGAATTCAAAGCTCGTCACAATGCTGTACACCACCATATGATATTGGCTGGGAAAACCTCCAATAGACTTGCGATGGCATCTTCTCGTGATGTTTTGAATGCCCTACTGTTCAAGGGTTGTCTCGCAGTCGAATACAGCGTGCATGCAATGCACGATGGAGCACCAGAGAATCTCCGCAAGGGAGCAAACTGCCTTGTCGACGATTGCAAAATCTGTAAAACAGCTGGCAGCGTATTTTGTGGCGAACGCCTCTTAAAATAAAAATACATAAAGAAGGTGTATTCATGTAATTATATCAGAAATTAAACATGGAAGGCGTCAGGACAAAATATGAAATCAAAGCTAGAATCACAGGTGGGCGATGCAGTGGCAGGAAACCAAGTGTGGTATTCTCGTGCGCAGCCGAGCCATGAGGCCTGTCTTGTCTCCCATCATTATACTCGTCCCATCTGTGGTGATGCCACAGATGTTGGACATGCGGAGATAACTCGTTCAACGGGAGCTAGGCTACGGGCTAGGCACGGGGCAAGGGTGATCTCTGCGTTCGTTCACTTAGTCGTTTACTCGTGCTTGCACTACTTGCTGATTCACGGGGGGATTTGGCAAGAGTTCCACTAGCAAAAGTGAACAACAATTGTTGATTCAACATTGGCAACACAGACTACATCAGAGCTAGCTAGCCTGCTGGTCGACCTCCAGCGCAGCATGGTCGACCGCCATCCAGCGCAGCAGAGCTCGCACCGCTCCAGCGTTGCAGAGTAGCTGTTTGCCAACGTTGCAAGTCCACGGTGTGCCAACGCTGCAGCAAGTCGGCTGCACAGCGTTGCACCCGCAGGACAACGGTGCACCTGCTTCGCAGGTGCATGCAGCTGGTTGGTGCACCACTCCTTGTCATGTGCACAGCGCAGACGTCCAGGTCGAGTCCACGCCAGCGACTACGCCTACCAGCCACGTCGACCTCGGGATACTACTTATGAGGTCGGCCTCGCAGCAACCACCCCGGCGACCATCGCACACGTCGCCCGGGTAACTCGGTTGACCGGACAACCACGCCTGGTCGCCACGGCAGCACCACTCGGAGAATAGCCCGTCGGCGTGCACACAACACACAGCACGCCGGTCACCGCACCAGCCATGCAAAAGGGCATGGCACCTACTGCTGCACGTCGTCATCACCGTCGCCACGTCGGCCAGGCTCACTTGGCCGATTGCGACGGAGCACCGGTTGAAGGCCGGGTAGTGCAGCGCCTTTCGTCAGGAAGTCGGCCGGCTGCTCGGTGGTCGGGATGTACTTCAGCGTGAATTTCCCGCGCTTCACCATGTGCTGCAGCCAGGCTTGTCGCCGCTCCATGTGCTTGAGGTTGCCCGTCAACCCCATGCCCTCGGCGACCGTAATAGCCGACTTGTTGTCCACCCGAAGGATGGTCGGCGTCCCGGCGTTCAGCTGCCGGAACTCTGCGCGGAGGAAATGAAGGCGGCGTCCCTCCTTTCCGGCTTCAGTGGCTGCCACGTACTCCGACTCCGTCGATGACAGCGTCGCGCACTTGATGCACTGGCTCGACCAGGAGACCGCGACCCCTCCGAAGACGAACACGTAGCCATCCCGTGCTCGTCCGGTTCTGGTTGTCGCCAGCGTCGTCGGCGTCCACGTAGCCGACCAGCTGCAGCGACTCAGTTCCACCGCCGAACTCCAGGGCGGTGTCACGCGTGTTGGCGAGGTAGGCGAGGCAGCGGTCGACCTCGCGCCAGTGATGGTCGCTCCTCACCGTGAGGCCGCTCCCCAACTTGCTGCAAGCGAAGGCGATGTCCGGCCTCGTCGTCGTCATCGCGAACTGCAGCGAGCCGACCTTCTGCCGGTACTCCTCCTCCCGGCGCTCCTGTGCCTCCTCGTCGTCGAAGGTGAGCTCGGCGTAGGCGTCGACCGAGACCGGCGTCTTTGGGGTGCGCCCGGTCTGCTCCTTGTCGATGAACCGCCTGCGCAGCTTGTCGGCGTGGCCCTGCTGGTGCAGCCACAGCTTCCTCGCCGGCCTGTCGCGCACGATCTCCAGCCCGAGGTA